CGTCTTATTGTCCTTTGAATTCCAGAAATCCAGAGTAACAGAATTACATATTTCTAGGCTGGATTTTTTGCCCACTGAACACTGTACATGACTTCACCTGATAAGATCCATCCTGTAGCTGCCTCTAAACCTGGAGGAATAGACTGACCCTGACTGGCTTTTGATGTGTTAGAAATACATCCTTTCACTATCTGTTATCCCAGAACAAACGCCTTGTCAAAATATTGATTGGAAGTGCATGTCTTAAGATTGTCCAGAGTGATTTTTGATGACCTAAGATTGGAGAGCTTGCGGGTGGGGGAGTTTTATTAAGGGGAAAATGAGTCAACTGAGAGTATGTAGAACAGATAATTCTGAACTAGAAAACTGATCATTTATTCAGTAACCAAGAATTACATATTTCTAGGCTGGATTTTTTGCCCACTGAACACTGTACATGACTTCATCTGATAAGATCCATCCTGTAGCTGCCTCTAAACCTGGAGGAATAGACTGACCCTGACTGGCTTTTGATGTGTTAGAAATACATCCTTTCACCATCTGTTATCCCAGAACAAACGCCTTGTCAAAATATTGATTGGAAGTGCATGTCTTAAGATTGTCCAGAGTGATTTTTGATGATCTAAGATTGGAGAGCTTGTGGGTGGGGGAGTTTTATTAAGGGGAAAATGAGTCAACTGAGAGTATGTAGAACAGATAATTCTGAACTAGAAAACTGATCATTTATTCAGTAACCACTCATTGAAAATTTCCTCTGTGCTAAGCATGGTGCTTGGCATCATGATTGGCAGCACTGCAGTGAACAAAAGTCCCCATTCCAATGAAAGCATCACTTTAATAGGGGCAATGGACCAGGACTGTTTAAGATAGCTGACAGTAACATGAAGAAGAGAAAGCAAGGTATATGATAGCCTCTGAGGTCCAATAGGGTGATCCTAGAGAGTCTCTGAGGAAATGACTTGGAGTTGAGATCCTACCTAGAAGCAATACACGACCATTTCAAATCTGCGGGATAGCGTTTCAGGCTAAAAAGAAGAGCAAAGGCAGAGATCCTAGGATTGGAGTAGACTTATGCTTCAAGAGCAGAATACATGGAAGAAAAATAAAATCTTTTAAATGGAAGGAATAATGAGAAGAAAAATTATCTGTGGACTATAGGGATAATCTGAGAGACTCATAGCAATAAACATCGTTGACCAAAAACATGAATTTAGAGTAGAAAGGGTCATTTAGGGACTTTATCCAAAGAAAACAAGACTTAAGACATGCTGCCCCAAATCTTCAAAGGAGCAAAACCCAAAGGTAAATATGAGGTGGTCACAACTTAGGTAGCAAGGCTGGTCCTGGGAGCTTGCAAGCAGGTATGAAGGCAGAAGGTGTCCTTCAGTTAGCTTGAAAAGTCAGTATGTCAGGAGCCAGATGAGTAATGTTGGCTCTGGCCATCCAAACCACGGAGGAAAGGAGGGCCCTGGAGAGAATCAGGGGAAGGGCCGAGGACAGATGGGCATCAGAGGGGATGGGGCTGAGGCGTGTCAGTGTTACCACATCAAAAAGCAGAGGAAGCTTTCCACTTGGGGGAAGCCTGTGGCTTGTTTGACCATCTGTAGATAACCTCAAACAGGAACTCCTAGCTACAGCATGACACAGCTCTCCTTCCTCTTTTTTTAATGCTGTGGCACTGCTCCCCACTCCGTTCTTTCCCAACTGGGAGTGACATTAGGGAAGAGGAAATGCTTGCAGGGGTTTCTGTGGAGCGACAGGTCCAGAATTGTAATTCAAGTGACACTGGACACACGACCGGAGAGAGGGTGGCTTTCCCCCTTGTTATTTGAGCACCTCTGGAAATGTTAATAGATTCTAAAGTTTAGAATGGTAACCAGTCCAGTACTGGTATAACCTGAAGGTCTTGCCTTCTTTCAGCTCTTCAGTTTCTCCCATTTAAGCAGTGAGAGAGTTACACGATATGGTTGCAAATTCTCTCTAGTGCCAGCATCCTCAGTTTCAAAATGTGTCTGTGTTGTACATCAAAGTGGAGACTATTAATGTAGTGAAATGACAACCTATACATTGGGAGAAAATATTTGAAAATTATATATCTGAAAAGGATCTAGTATCTGTAATATATAAAGAAAGCTTGCAACTCAACAACTAAAGGGCAAATAGCTCAATTTAAAAATAGGCAAATGGCTGAAATAGACATTTCTTCATAGAAGAAATGCAAATGGCAAAAAAAAAACAGATGAAAAGTTGCTCAACATCATTAGTCATAAGGGAACTGCAAATCAAAATGAAAGTGAGATGCCATTTCACACCCATTACAATGGCTATTATTAAAAAGAGATAGAATAGCAAAAGTTGGTAAGGATGTAAAAAGTTGGAATCCTTTACATTGCTGGTTGGAATATAAAAATGATACAGCTACTATGGAAAACAGTTTGGTGATTCTTCAAAAAGTAAACATAAAATTACCATGTGAACCAGCAATTCCGCTACTACGTATTTACCCCCAAAGAATTGAAAATAGATATTCAAACATAATTTATATACACATCATAGCACTATTCACCATATCCAAATGGTGGAAATAACCCAAATATCTATCAGCTGATGAATGGGGCAGCAAAACGTGGTCTATCCATACACTGGAATTTTATCCAGCCATAAGAAGGAGTGAAATATAATACTAATACATGCTAAATCATAAACATGGATAAACCTTAAAAATATTAAGTGAAAGAGGTTAGACACAAAGGGTCACATATTATCTGATTGCACTTACATGAAATATTCAAAATGGGTAAATACTGAGTTGGCCAAAAAGTTTGTTTGGGTTTTTCCATAACACCTTACTGGAAAACCCAAAGGAACTTCTTGGCCAACCCAATACATGGAAACAGAAAGTAAACTGGTGGTTGCCAAGGGTGGGGGGAAGAGAGAGCAAGAGTGACCGTTTCATGGGTGCGTAGTTTCCGTTGTTTGCAGTGATGAAATTGTTCTGAAAATAACTAGAGATGGTGGTTGCACAACCCTGTGAGTGTATTGAATGCTACTAAATTGTCTATTTTAAAACTGGTTTATTCTATATTATGTGAATTTTACCTCCATTTAAAAAAAATATGGGAGCCAGGGAGAAAGGAACTGAAATTCTGTGTATAGCCTGTGTGGATACCTGATCGGCAATAGCAAACAAAGTGAGTAAGCTATTTCAGCTGGTGAAATAGACTCATCCTTCACTGTTTACTGCAAACAAAGCCCCTTGCCAGTGTAGGCAAGGTAGTGAAGGGGTCAAGCTCATCCCATTTATGGTCAACAGGACAGGTAAAATGAGGGCTCAAGAATTGGTAGATCATGATCCAGATTAAACCCAATGTATGTATTCCCCCCCCATACATATACATGTGTCCATTCTCCCCCCAAACCCCCCTTTTTAAAAAAAATATTTGTTCATTTATTTAATTTGGCTGTGTTGGGTCTTAGCTGCATCAGAGGGGCTTCTCTAGTTCTGGCACATGGGCTTCAGAGCACTCAGGCTCAGTAGTTGCCCTGCGGCATGTGGGATCTTAGTTCCCCCACCAGGGATCAAACCCACGTCCCCTACATTGGAAGGGGGATTCTTAACCACGGGACCACCAGGGAAATCCCCAGATACGTTATCATTTATCCCATGCCAGACCTTTATTCATTAAACCAGAAGTTAAAATTGAGCTTTCATAAAGATCCAGTGTTCCAGGTTTTCTAGAGAAAAGCAATCTGACCTTCCAGTGACCCTGGTCTCACATTACTACAAGGTAAGAATCAGCCAGGCTGGACAGAGAGTGCCACCGTTAGACTGGTCAAGGGCTGTCTCTCTCCTCCCTTCATGTTATCTGCCAGAAAGTTCACCCCTGTCTTCCCCATCCCACTGTGGCACATTTCACCTTTAATCCTCTTTTGAAAATTTTGTTTACAAAGTCTCCCATTAAGTCTCCCATTAAGAGGTAAGTCTGCCTTGCGTAAGAAGAGAGCAAATGTCCAAAGGGCAACAATTTGTTCTTGAGGCCAAGAAGGGGGTACAGGTAAAAATCTCTTATTTGAGGGTGGGATGAGGGCAGAGGGCAGAAGCCCAGATCAACCCACGTCCCCTACATTGGAAGGGGGATTCTTAACCACGGGACCACCAGGGAAATCCCCAGATACGTTATCATTTATCCCATGCCAGACCTTTATTCATTAAACCAGAAGTTAAAATTGAGCTTTCATAAAGATCCAGTGTTCCAGGTTTTCTAGAGAAAAACAATCTGACCTTCCAGTGACCCTGGTCTCACATTACTACAAGGTAAGAATCAGCCAGGCTGGACAGAGAGTGCCACCGTTAGACTGGCCAAGGGCTGTCTCTCTCCTCCCTTCATGTTATCTGCCAGAAAGTTCACCCCTGTCTTCCCCATCCCACTGTGGCACATTTCACCTTTAATCCTCTTTTGAAAATTTTGTTTACAAAGTCTCCCATTAAGTCTCCCATTAAGACGTAAGTCTGCCTTGCGTAAGAAGAGAACAAATGTCCAAAGGGCAACAATTTGTTCTTGAGGCCAAGAAGGGGGTACAGGTAAAAATCTCTTATTTGAGGGTGGGATGAGGGCAGAGGGCAGAAGCCCAGATCGTAAGATAACACCAGACTGGTGGCAGAATCCAGGCTGAGGCGGGGAGAGATTGCCAGTGGGCAGAGGTGGGTGAGCACAAAGCAGGTTTCTCCTCACTGCGGCACTGCTACCTTTCTGCGCATTTTGCAACTTTCCCCGGGGCGGTCCCCCTTCTCACACTGGCTTGGGTGGCCAGCCTTTGAAGAGACAGTGTCCCGCATGGCTGACTCTTGAATACGTTTTGCCTCCTGGACTGCCTCTTCATCATACAAGCCTGGTAAAGCCACTTCATCATACAAGCCTGATAAAGCCTGGTAAAGCCAGATTCCAGAAACCCCAGCTCTCAGAATCCTGGCAGATTGTGACAACAGCCCCTGTTGTTAGGTAACCTACCACCTGTGGGATCTGACTTTTATTTTTAAGCCTTTTTCCGCCCCCACCTAAACACAACGTGGAAGAAGCCAGAGTTGGGACAGGCATCTCAGGCTCTGGAAGTTCAATTTTCCTCCATACAATGGCAAGGGACTACTCCAAATTCAGGCAATAACCAATTAGAGGCAGAAAAAAATGACAAAAAGTGACTCAGGGTTTCTTGTGACTGTTCCTAGTCCCATACAAAATTTCTAGGCTTTATAAAAGCCTTTGTGAGAGTTGGCTTAACTGTTTTTCTTAATGGAGAAATTTCCAGATGCCTGCTAGTGGCAGCTGCCTCAAAGCTCGAATGGTGACTGTGAGTTTGATCTGATAAAGCTCTTTGTTGGACTTTATTCACTCTCTTGATTTTCAGTAGGAACGTTTGCTCTTGTCTCTTGAGATATTGTTCTGTAGGGCATTACATAACACTTTTGTTGTTGTTCAGTTGCTCAGTTGTGTCCAACTCTGCGACCCATGGACTGCAGCACCCCAGGCTTCTCTGTTCTTCCCTATATACCAGAGTTTGCTCAAACTCATGTCCATTGAGCCAATGACGCCATCCAACCATCTCATCCTCTGTCATCCCCTTCTCCTCCTGCCCTCAATCTTTTCTAACATCAGGGTCTTTTCTAGTGAGTCAGCTCATCACATCAGGTGGCCAAAGAGTTGGAGCTTCAACATCAGTCCTTCCAATGAATATTCAGGATTGATTGCCTTTAGGATTGGTTGGTTTGATCTTGCTGTCCAAGAGACTCTCAAGAGTCTTCTCCAGTACCACAGTTTGAGGGCATCAGTTCTTCAGTGTTCAACCTTCTTTATGGTCCAACTCTCCCATCCATCCATGACCACTGGAGAAACACATACAACATCTGAACATCCTTTGCTGTGACTCATAAGGTGCTAGATGAATTCAGCCTCCTTGAACTCTATGGCTAGATTCTGTAAGGAGGAAATGAGTTGTGGTTTTGTCGATTTTAATGGGGAGGAAACAGTAGGAAATGATGAATGACCTTGGACCAGTCACTTTACTTCTGAGGGTTTCTATTTTCTTATCTGTAAAATGTGACTTTGTGATATTGGTTGAAATAAATTAGATAATCCATGCAAACAACCCAGCTTGGTGCCTGCATATAGTTGGTGCTCATATGTTTGCTGCTGTTATTGTCCTAATCAAGTCTGAAAGTTGTGAGGCAAGCCCTGGAAGAATGATGTCAGTGAGAGTAAGGTCCTAGGATCTACCCAAATGTTAATGCCTCCTTTTAGAGTAGTTTGAAGCTAAAGTTGGCTGGAAGCTACAAGTAGAGTTGAGTTGTGAAGGGAAGACTTTGTTTCTTTTGGTTCCCAGAGATCTCTTCCTGGCTTAAATCTTCAATGCCCGCCGGCTACCATGTGTCGGACCCATTCTCCAGCAACATTTCTGCAGACCTAGCTAAAGTTGTCTCTGATAAAAATGATTCCTCCAGGTTCCCTGGAGAAAGAGGACTTTGGACCCAGCAAGTTGTCATGCTTTTGATCTCTGAGACCCTCCTGATAGCTCTGAAAAGAAAGCAATGAGCAAGGCATATCTGGGCCAGCAGGAAATGTCCTTCGCAGGAGAACACGTGATTTCTAAGATGGGTGGTGTCACCTCTCCAGAGGTTCCATCTTCTGTTTGGCTGATACTAGGGAGATGCAGTCCTAAGAGTCCTTGGTGACCCTCCGTCTGCCTGGGTGGTAAAGCTCTCTGGAGCCCCCTCCTCTGACTACCAGCTTATGTTGGATCCAGAGGGCTTCTTCGAGGCTTTGTGAACCAAAAAATAAAATGGTAGTCATTTCTCAAAACTGTCTGGGAAATGATTAACCTCTTTCCTTTGATCCTTACCCACTTGTGGGAGGACAATCAAGTAGCCAGGGTGGAGAACATATTCTAGTATTTCCGACATTGCTAAGGTAAACAGTGGGAGGAATTCAGCTGCTAGAGTGGTTAACCATGGCTCTTTGGAGGGTTAGAAGCTGTGTGTGTGTGTGAAACTTCTGTAAGCATAGAGAGCTGTTGGAGCAAAAAAAAAAAAACATGGCAATTTCCTCTTTTTCTTTCCTCTCTTTTTTTTTTACAGGCCTGAATTTCCTGCTGCTATTCATAAAGATGCTTTTTATCTTTAACTTCTTGTTTTCCCCACTTCCAACCCCGGCACTGATCTGCATCCTGACCTTCGGAGCTGTCATCTTCCTGTGGTTGGTTAACAGACCTCAGCCCGCCTTGCCTCATGTTGATCTGAACAAGCAGTCGGTGGGAATTGAGGTAACATGCCAATTGCCTTTGCAGTTTGTCAGCCTTCATGGAACACAAACTGTAACTCAAGACCTTAGGAGAGGTGGTAAAGGAGACTTGGAGTAGTGTGGGAAAGTAAGCCTTTTTGATTAGCAAAAATAAGCAGAAAATCTACAAGTCAAAAGTTCTAGTAATGGTACATTTTTGTTTTTAATGAAATAACAGATTTTACTGATTTTATGATGCCAAAAATCTATATGTGGGATTGGCAAACTATTGCATACAGACAAAATCCACCTTTCTCTGTGTGAGCAAGCTAAGAACATTCTTTATATTTTTCAAGGGATATGTAAAAAGAATAAAAGAAAGGGCTAGATCATATGTATTCCACAAAGCCTAAAGTATTTACTATCTAGCCCTTTGCAGGAACACGTTGCTGACCCACAATCTAGATGATAGAGTCAGTACTCTGCGGACAGAAGAATATTTTCATTGAGAAATACCATGTCAAAAAAAAAAAAAGAGAGAGAAATACCATGTCTAAGAATGGTATAAAAAAAAAAAAAGTAACTAAATTCAATTCAANGTTAATAGTCTCTCTTAAAACTGACAGACATTGAGCTGGGTTTCTCCCCTCAATTCTTTGACATTTTAGCAAATCTTACTACTTCCTATATCTCTGAACTAAGGGATAGTGCCATGAATTTTCTCTCATGATTTTTCATCTTCAACCCTTTTCAGAGAAGAAAGCATTAAAGCTAACCCTTTCTGATCTTGTTACAAACTCTGTGCTTCTAGTTGGGAATCTGATTCCGAGTTGCCTCCATTCTCCACCACCCTCCGTTTTATTTGGAAGATTTTCATCAGCAACTTCCTGTCCCTATTAATCCTGATACTTCAGGCTGCCATGTCTTTTCAATCGTCCCTTTCCCCTGAGTCTTTAAGAGTAGACTATTGGTTTCCCCTCGGGAACTTCAACCCACTGAAGTCTGACCTTTGTCACTACCATCCCCTCAGACTTCTCTGCATCACTCACAATCTAACTTCGAAATTCAGTGATTCACAACAAGATGTGCTACTCTACAGTACAGGGAACTATATTCAACATTCTGGCATAAACCATAGTGGAAAAGAGTATTAAAAAGAATGTATATATGTGTATAACTGAGTCATTTTGCTGTGCATCAGAAATTAATACTACATTGTAAATCAAGTATACTTCAATAAAGAATAGATTAAAAAAATAAATTCAATGATTCTTCCTGTCAATTGACTTGACACCTCCTTAAAACTTCTTCCTTTGCCTTTCATCATATCCTTCGGTGAGATTTCTGCCTAATTCCAAGATAGTCTTTCTTTGTTACTTAGATTCTTTCCTCTCTTTATTCTAGAGTTTCAGTCTCACCATCTTTTGATTCCTCTGAAGCAAGGGTTGGCAAACTTGTTCTTGTGAAGGCCAGATAGTGAAGAGTTTAGGCTTTGCAGACCACAGGGTTGTGTTGCAACTATTCAATTCTGCTGTTACACTGTGAAAGCACCAAGAGATATATAAATAAGGGCAGGGCTGTGTTCCAATAAAACTTTATTTAAAAACTGGCTAGCCATGTTTGGCCCCAAATATAGTCTGCTAATCCCTGCTTTCAATCCTCACAGCTTTTGAGAAAACCCCCTCTAATATGACATGAATATGTACCTGAAAGGCTGTGACACCCAAATCTGACCTCTCTTTTGAGTTCCAGTCCATCTCAGTGACACTTGAGTACCTCAGGCTCCACACATCTCTTTATTGCATGTCTTCTCCCTTCATACCGAGGTGCACACACACACTCTCTTGCATACACAGCTGCACCCTTTCCTGCTTCCCCTCCTGCTCCATCTCAGTTAAATGCATCTCTGCTTACCCAGCTGACCAAAAGTTGAATCATCTTTCATTCTTCCTCAATGCTGTCTATGTAAGTAGACAGCAAGACCCCATCTTTCTTTCCTAGAATAGAACTTTGCTTTTGATGTCTTGACTTAATGTGACATCTGATGGAAATCTTCCCTGATGCTCCAGATTAAGTGAGATCTTTTGTTAGAGTTTCATGGGTTACCTTGGACTTTTAGAGCTGCTATCTTGGTAATAACTTACAGTTTTGAATGCCTATTTAATTGATGGCAAGGCTTCTCTAACTTTCATGAGGGTTGAACCGTACCTCCAGCTCCTATGGTAAACACATAGTGATTTTTTTTTTTTTTTGCAGATGATATTCCATTATAGGTTATTACAAGATACTGGGTGTAATACCCTGTGCTATACAGTAAATCCTTGTTGCTTCCTCTGCATCTTTATTCAGGCTATCCCTTCACTTTGAACTGTTCTCCTTTCCCTCCATTCTATGAAACTACATATTTTTGGTAAATGCTTACTGTCTTCAGAGTATCTATTGAAATATTATTTCTTCTCTGTAGGCTTTCTATTTTATTCAGTATTGGTTACTTCACTCATCTCCCAAAACATATGTTGTTATTACAGTGTGTACATCACAGTATTATATTTGCATGTTTTCCCCTTCTCATCCTACCCCAGCTCCCAAAACTCTCATTTATGTGGCGTTCATGGGGAGATCCCCTAGAGAAGGGAAAGTCTATCCACTCTGGTATCCTGGGATGGAGAATTCCATTAACTTTATAGTCCATGGGGTCGCAAAGGGTCAGACAAGACTGAGCGCTTTCACTTTCACTTCACTTTCATGGGCAGTAGTTTTGTCTTAACTCACTTTGCATTTACAGTATTTGCACAGTGCCTTGAACATGGTATGCATTTGATAGATGTTTAAACTTAATATGATTTTTTTATAAAAGGGCTTCCCTGGTGGCTCAGATAGTAAAGAATCTGCCTGCAATTCAGGAGACCTGAGTTCAGTCCCTGGGTTGAGAACATTCCCTAGAGGAGGGCAGGGGAACCCACTTCAGTATTCTTGCCTGGAGAATTCCATGGACAGTGGAGCCTGGCGGGCTACAATCCATGGGGTCACAAAGAGTCGGACACAACTTAGCAATTAAGTCCAGCACAGCACATAACTATAATATTGTCTCATCTCTGTGTGTGTGTGTGTGTGTGTGTGTGAGTGCATATGCATATACCTAGCGAGGTGGAGGTAAATTACCAAAAACATAACTGCGACAATCTCTGGGTTTCTCTGATATGAAGATACCACAATTTTGAGACTTAAAAAAATTGACTGATTGAATACTAAAAGGGTCATCAGTGTGACCTCAATAGTCAGTATTTCTGTTCTTTTCAACTCAGTCCATAAAGGTTTGGAAAGGGTGGGGGAAAACTCAGGCTTGACCTAAACTCAGTCTTGTGTCTTAGGGAGGAGCACGGAGAGGCATTTGCCAGAAGGACAATGACCTGATACGCAGCTACTTCTCAGATGCCAAGACAGCATATGAAATCTTCCAAAGAGGACTTGCTGTGTCTGGTAAGCCTGGCTGTTTCCCCTGGCCTGTAAGACCAAAGTGGGCTCTTGTTCCCTACCTCTCCTTCCCTGTCTCACTTCTAAAACTTTGTTTAAATGTGGTGTTCCAAGAAGAATTAAAAATACAGCATGGCAGGGACATGAGCAGAGGACCTGGGTGGGTGCCGGAAGCTGTGTAGCAGGACAGACTTGGGCTTGAAACCCAATTCTTCTGTTGCTAGCCGTGTGACTGCACAAACCACTTTGCCTCTCTGAATCTGGTTCTCATTTAATACAAGGAGAACTTCCTGGCCAAGTGGTTGTTAAAGAGTTAACAGTAGGAAAATATTTTGGTTAATCCACTAGTACATTTGTTTAGGAGGATGTGTTTCATAAATGTAGTTCCCTGCGTTATAGAATCTGAGCCAGAATTAGCATCCAGGCCTCCTGACTTATTACCTTGACCTTGCCCCTAGTATCATACTGCTGGACCTTGTTGCTGCTTTTAGTATCACAGAAGGTAATTGTTTTTTGGACTTACCAAGAAGCATTATCCCATGACCTTTGGTAGGTTCATTTCCAATGAATGAAAGAAGTACATAAAGGTTCAGTACTTCTATCTGGCATCATAGAACACAATGCTGGGTATACTAGCTTCCTTTCAAAATCAACGGACTTATAACTCTCCCTATAATTTTTTTAAATGTTTATTTAATGTATTTATTTGACTGCATCAGGTCTTAGTTACGGCATGTGGGATCTAGTTCCCTGACCAGGGATCAAACCCAGGCCCCCTGCTTTGGAAGGAAGGTATCTTAGCCACTGGACCACCAGGGAAGTCCCACTCTCCCTTTAACTTTTTTCCTTTGGAGTGATATTCTGTCCAGGCAGAGATTTACCTATGTGACTTTTTGTCCTCCATGTCCCTTCTGCCTTTTAACTATGACTACGACAATATTTAATAGCCAATTCCTGTTGGGTACTAACTATAGTAATGCATGGATAGCATCTACTTATTTTCTTACACCTCAGGGATTAGTTGTCATTCACCTCCATTTAAAAGTTTTATTTATTTATGACTGTGCTCAGTCTTCACTGATGCTCACGGGCTTTCTCTAGTTGCCGTGAGAGGGGGTTACTCTGTGTTGTGGGGTGCAGGCTTCTCGTTGCAGTGGTTCCCCTCATTGTGGAGCAGGGACTTTAGAGTGTGCAGGCTCGATAGTTGTGGTGCCCTGGCTTAGCTGTCACCAGGCATGTGGTATCTTCCTGCACCGGGGGTCAAACCTGTGAACCCTGCATTGACAGGTGGATTCTTAACCACTGAACCAACAGGGAAGTCCAACCTCATTTTTTAAAGTGAGGAAATAGAGACTCAGAGGTTCAGGAATATTTTGAAAGTGACCGAACTAGAAAATGTTGATGCTGATACTGAAATCTAAGTCTCTGTCTAGATTATTTTATTTTATGTCAACTCTTAAGTGTTTTGTAAAGATTGTTGTTCCTCAAGACAATGAAGGTTTATATTGTAAAGAAAGCTTCTATCTGAAGGCTCCAGAGTGGACTGTACTTGGTGTTTCTGGCTCCACATCAGTACTGATTTAGATATCCATCCACATAACAAACAAAAACAAACCTACTGCTAGTTTCTTTACTTATTTGGCAACTTAAGATCGTATATAGCTAATATGATGGACTTTCCTTTGAGATTTCCCACTTTTTGAAGTTTTCTTCACTGTGCATGATTGTTATTGGAACCAGATACAAGTCATTCAGCACACAACATGTGGTACATAGGACACACCTTCATTTAGAAACTTTTTTCAATGTTAAATTAAAACTAAACAGATAAATTGGCTTCTCGTGTAAGTAAGCATGAAAAATCCAGCCTGTTTCCATAGAAAAATGACACAACTGCTTACAACTGGGATGGAATACATCAGCCCCAGCCTCTGTGTTTATAGGGTTCCCAGGTGGCTCTCGTGGTCAAGAACACACCTGTCAACGCAAGAGACTTAAGAGGCATGGCTTTGATCCGTGGGTTAGGAAGATCCCCTGGAGGAGGGCATGGCAACCCACTCCAATATTCTTGCCTGGGAAATTCCCATAGACAGAGCAGCCTGGCAAGGCTATGATCCACAGGGTTTTAAAGAATTGGAAACAACTGAAGCGACTTAACACAAACACACACAACCTCTATCTTTAATCCCTAGCCAGTAGATGGTCCATGTTGAGAATCACCTACATGCATGCGTGCTAAGTTCCTTCAGGTGTATCTGATTCTGTGTGACCCTAGGGACTGTAGCCTGCCAGGCTCCTCTCTCAGATAATCCAGGCAAGAATACTGGAGTGGGTTGCCATGCCCTTCCTCTGGGGAGAATTACCTGCAGATAGTGTTTAAAATATAGATCCTCTGGCTCCCCTGTGTTTTACTGAATTGGAATTCCAGATAGTTGCTGTTTAGTCACTAAGTTCTGTTCAACTTTTTGCAGTCCCATGGACTGCAGTACATCAGGCTTCTCTGTCCTTCACTATCTCCCAGAGTTGGCTCAAATTCATGTACATTGAGTCGGTGATGCCATCCAATCATCTCATCCTCTGTCGCCCCCTTCTCCTCCAAATATGAATTTTAAACAGAGCTTTACAAGGGCTTTGTGTGCCAAAGTTTCAACTCTACCTAGCTTACGGCCCCAATTTTGCTGAGAAGTTGTTAATGGGTGGATTCTTTATAGATGGCCATGTCTTAGAACAGAAGATCTAAGTTGATTAAATTAATCAAAGGCTAGGCTATTGCCTAGTCAGGACTTTGGCTAATCAAACTGAAGCTGATTAGGGCACAGAGTTTAATGAAACCCCAGTTGGTGCCCCCTTGGGCCAATTATTTGACTTATTCCTTGACCATGGGCCTCTGCTAGTATTTTTATCCATAGGTAAGTGATAAGGAGATGAAATAGAGTTTTTCTCACCCTTATCAGCTCTGCCACTTAATGAGTGAGCATGAAGTTGTTCAAGTTCATGATTCTTGGTTCCATAGGGATAATGATAGTTATTGGGAAGACCCAAAGAGTTAATGTGACAGTGCAGAGTAAGCTAGGGACCCTAACAGGTACGTATCGCTGGGGGTTAATGTTTGTAAAAACCAGTCCATCAGTAGAGCACCAGCGGCATACACTGTAGGCTGGAGCAGGGGCTGTGAACCCCTAAAGCAGGACTTGCCTGGCTTCAAGTAACATCTCAGTCTGAGACTGGACTTCTTGAGCATTCATGCAGCTGTTTCAGCAGAAAGAAAAAGCACTAATGTTTCCTGTGAATAGTCTCCATGTTCATTAAAAAAAAAAATCTCTTTAGTCAATGTGGCTATCTCTTTCCTGCTTTCTTTCCTCTCTCCTCTGTTGCTTAGTCGGGAAGTTCACTTATTTGCCTCTGAATTCCTAATAACCTTCTCTTTGAATGCTTCCTTTTGGTTAGAACTGAAATCCCCTCAGCAATTTGGCTAGATCCTCTATGTAAAACTTCCTTCCCTTCTGCACTCCTATTTATAACTCAGTTTCATTCTGGCTTAGATATGGGGGTTTCTCAGCCAGTTAGGGGTTTTACTTAGCCTCATAAGTACCATAACTTCTGTGACTTCTGTGGCTGAAATGACTCTTTACTCTAGTAAATGGATGTTCCCAGACTTACTTTAATTTTAAATAAGGCAGAATAGTTTCGATGTTCAGAAGTTTAATTCTTCTATTGTCAAATGTGAGACACAGTTGTAAAAATATCCAAGGCTAATGTACATGTGTGTGTACACGAGTGCTCCTGTGTATACTTATGTGTGTTCTCGTAGTTCTTTATGAGTCTCAGGGTCTCAGAAGGCACTCTCATATAAAGTACATTACCAACTGATTCATGAGAGTAAATGAAGCTTAATAGATAAGGGAAAGGGTCCCATTTNGAGATCAAACCAGTCAACCCTAAAGGAAAATAAGCCTGAATTTTCATTGGAAGGACTGATGCCAAAGTTGAAGCTGCAATAGTTGTCCACCTGATGAAAAGAGATGAATCACTGGAAAAGACCCAACTCACTGGAAAAGACCCTGATGCTGGGAAAGATTGAGTGTAGGAGGAGAAGGGGAGACAGAGGATGAGATGGTTGGATGACATCACCAACTCAATGGCCATGGGTTTGAGCAAACTCCAAAGATAATAACGGACAGGGCAGCCTGTGGAGTCACAAAGAGTTGGACGCAATCTAGTGACTAAACAGCAGCAATTGCTATTTGTATCTAAGTTTATGTAATTATCAAGATAACCTGACAAGATATTTTTTTCAGATGAGGAGACGTGATTCCAGAGAGGATAAAAAACTAACCCAAGAACTGAGAATTACTATATAGCTACACTAACGTTTGCATTTTGGTTTTATAGCTACACTAACGTTTGCATTTTGGTTTTTTTCTGATTTCAAACCAGACTTGGGTCTGACCTCACAGTCCTTTACTGCCACGACTCTGGGGATGTAATAACAGTTAATCTAATTGTCTAGGTATAACCTGCCGACCTCAGAGTATAACCCAGCATTCTTTTTTTTTTTTTTTCTCTCTCTCTCTCTCTACCTCTCTCTTTTGTAGGTGTCTGATCGAGCAGAGTACCTGGGCTCCTGTCTCTTGCATAAAGGATGTAAACCATCACAAGACAGCTTTGTTGGCATCTTTTCTCAGAATAGGCCAGAGGTAACTGTGTTGAAATTAACTGAAAGAGATGAGTCAGGGCCAAGTCTAAAGACTTTAAACCCTACCCCAAATCCAGCACTCTGATGCTTGATAAAGACTTACGAAAGCTGTTTAAAGACCTCAGACTCTTTAAACATTGTTCCAGTTGAAAGAGTTGTAGTGCATGGCCTCTTTAACCTGGTTGAATGTCTGCTGCTATTTGCTAGGTGACTGGGCTTCTCTCATGTGTTTCCAGTTATGTGTCATTTTAAGCCAGTCTGTCATATGAGGAAAATAAGGAAACTGTGAGGGGCCTGGCACATAAGAGCTTGTGGATGACGTGGAAAGGGGTGAATTGGTTTTGGAAGTGGAACTTGCACATTGTTCCTGAACTAGTAAACAAGGCATCCACTTCTCCTGAGACCAGCTGTAGCCATCTTTCCACAGTGAGTTGAAAGCAGATTTTAGAATTGCAATGATTGGAATTAAGCTTATCTGCAAGTTCAGGTGAAGTCATTAGGCCCAATATCCTCAGAGAAAAAGCTTTGTGTGTTTTGGAATACTTGCATGACATACACTTACCCAAGCCAGTTGTTTAACTGAAAATCCAAGGCGGGGGCAGGCCTGGCTGCATTTCTGGGTGCATCTATATACTTCATCTTCCCTTAACCCAGCCTCGGAGATATCCTTGACTCTAGTTCAGGAACTTAATACCAAACCTGGTATCTATTAGGGCTGCCATAAAAAAAAATACCACAGACTGGTGGCTTAAACAAGAGAAATTAATTTTCTCACACTCCTAGAGTCTGTTCAAGATCTCCAGTTCGAAGTCAAGGTGTCAGCAGGTGTGGTTTCTCCTGAGGCCTCTCTTCTTGGCTTGCAGACAGCTGCTTCTTGCTGTGTCCTCACTTGACATTTTCCTCTGCCACCCCCAGGTGTTTTCCTCTTCTTACAAGGACAGTAGTTATGTTGGATCAGGGTCCCTTATGAGCTCTGTGCTATACTGTGCTTAGTCACTCAATCATGTCTGACTCTTTGTGACCCCAGGGACTGTAGCCCACCAGGCTCCTCTGTTCATGGAATTCTCCAGGCAAGAATATTGGAGTGGGTTGCCAGGCCCTCCTCCAGGGGATCTTCCCAACCCAGGGATCAAACCCAGGTCTCTCCCACACTGCAGGCGGATTCTTCACCATCTGAGTCACCAGGGAATCCTAAGGATACTGGAGTGGGTAGCCTATCCCTTCTCCAGGGGATCTTAACCAACCCAGGAATGGAACCAGGGTCTCCTGTGTTGCAGGCAGATTCTTTACCAGCTGAGCTTTATGATCTCATTTCACCTTAATTCTTTTTAAAAGGTGCTATCACCAAAAACAATTGCCTTGGTGTTAGGGCTTCGACATGAATCTAAGGGGGAACAAAATTCAGCTCATAATGACATTTAAGACCCATGATTATCAGGTTCTGACCTATCAGCCCAATTCCTGTCACTCTTTATGCTTTCTGATGTATATGTAGTGATGTCATGCAATCCTGCTTTGTTCATTCACTTCCTTCGTCCTTCTCTGCCTCCATCTCCATAACCAAATCCTACCTGCGGCTACTGCTGCTGCTGCTGCTACTAAGTCACTTCAGTCATGTCCAACCCTGTGCGACCCCATAGACATCAGCCCACCGGGCTCCTCCGTCCATGGGAGTTTCCAGGCAAGAGTACTGGAGTGGGTTGCCATTGCTTCTCTCTGTCCTTCTGAGCCCTGCCCAATTTCCATCACTTTTCCCAAAGTAGTTCCAGATAGCCTTACCCCACCCCTGAGAGTGACTGTTTCCTGAAGACTCCCTAATTCTTTCTGTAACTCTTATGGATAGAACTTATTACACTCTACCTTTGTTTTATAGTTGTCTCTGCACCCACCTTATCTCCTTTATTTAATTATATTTTATAGCATCAGCAATGGCAGTCCCTAAAGCATCACAAAAAAGAAGAGATTTGAGGGGACTTCCCTGATGGTCCTGTGGTTAAAGCTCTGTGCTTCAAATGCTGGGAGTCTGGGTTCCATCCCTGGTCAGGGAACTAGATTTCACAAGCCCCAACTAAAGATTCTTTCTTTTAACACAGAGCCACCAAATAAGCATTTGTTGACTAAATGACTGAATTAACATACTTCCTCATCAAAGCATATGCTAGTCCTTATTTGAACATCTCTCCATACAGTGGGTCATCTCTGAGTTCGCTTGTTACACGTACTCCATGGTAGCTGTGCCTCTCTATGATACCTTGGGAGCGGAAGCTGTCATATACATCGTCAACAAGGGTAAAACTTCGCTATTACATTTTAACTTGATTCTGTCTTGATGTTGAGTAGTTCCTCATTATTGGATTTTGTTAACAGAATGCTGTGATCAGAAAAATGCTCAAGTCTCTCTTGTCCTGTAGCACCTAGGATATAATTTAGAGGGAAATTACAAAAGGCCCATGAATCAGGGATATACTCAGGAGTTTCAATAAAATGCTTCAAGGTGGCGTAATATGACAATATAGTCACTGGCCACCCTGGACAAAAGGCCATAGAGTGAGTGAATAAATCACTTAATTGACAGTATCACTATGAAACCACTGGTTTAATTTCCTACTCTTGTAAATCGAAGTGAGTATAGTTCACCAGCATGTACCAGTGTCCATGGTGAGCCTGTAGACAAAATGACTATTGCTAGAGAAACAAGTTCAAGTTCAATGGGCAAGTAAGAGATATACTAGATGTTACCTTCCATCACAGAATTGGTATATTAAGTGAGTAGATCCATTGGAACTACAGACTTAATCAGAAAGTTTCTATTTGTGTAAACAAGTATCAAAGCAACTGCTACCATTAAAAATCATAAATGCTTGTCTGCTAAAATCCTACTTGCCCCCTCCTTCCCCTTTTAATCCCTCCTCCCCATGCCCCCAAACAAAACAAATGGACAGGACCACATATGTGACCAAGCATGTTGTCTGTATTCTTAACCTGAAGGAATTTTGTGGCTCCTCTAGAAACTATAAACAGTTGGCAGTATGCAGGGAAACTAAGTGCTTCTGTTTCAATTAAGTTTATTTTATTATCAATGGAATGTTTCAGATTTTATACATTATAAGTCTGATTTACAAATATAATCTCCTTTAGGGATCCAGTAGTTTTGACATTTTCAAAAATCTTTTCCTCTTTGCAAGAAAATCAGGTGCACGGCAACACAAGAGGCTGACCTCTGGCTCTCTTTCTGCTTTCAGCTGATATCTCCACGGTAATCTGTGATACACCCCAAAAGGCATTAGTCCTGATCAGTAATGTGGAAAAGGGCCTCACCCCAGGCCTGAAATTGGTCATCCTCATGGATCCCTTTGAGGATGACCTGAAGAAGAGAGGGGAGAAATGTGGAGTTGAAATCTTATCCCTGATTGATGCTGAGGTAGGGACCTGAAGCTCAACTGCCAAGCAGAAGGCTGGTCTCACACCATGGGCAGCTTCCAGGACTTCCATACAAGAAAGCAAGTTGATGTCCTCCAGAGGTGGCAGGGGAGGAGTCAATTACATTTATACTATTAAGCTATGGGAATCATTTACCCAAGACAACTCAGAAAGCCTGCCAGTGGGGGAGGAAGGCCTGTGGCCAGCAGACAGACTTCCAAGTAGAGAATTTATAAATACAGAAGTAGTTAGGGAGGTGATCCTGGGACCAGGCTTCCTAGGTTCACCTTCTAACTCCATATCTATTAGTTACGTGACCTGGGGCCAGTTGCACCACATCTTCCTTTCCCCCTTTGTAATATGAAGATGAAACCATCCCTACTTCACAGGGGAGATTTAAAGAGTTAAATTAGAGAACATAAAGAGCTCAGGACAGTAATATAATGTGCAGTAAGCCTTGAAATGTCAATTATTCATTTTATTTAAAATGATTTAGCAATGGTCCTGGAAGACTGAACCTTGAGAGTCTGATGGGAAGTTTGGACCTTTGGGATCTGCCCTCATGAGCTGGTATTCTAGAGAGAACTTATACTCTACCCCGAGACTTCCATTGTGCCTGAATGTTGGCTTCTGGGCCTGACCTGGGTTGGAATTTTTGTTGTATTCCCACAGAGGTGTTCACATGCAAAAGGAAAAGAGGACTGTATTTGTCCCAAGACTGTCCATCTCAACTAATGTCTTTCTTTCTTGCTTTTCTGTTCATGCAGAATTTAGGCAAAGAGAACTTCAGAAAACCCGTGGTAAGTTTTCTTCTGCCTGGTCTTGAGTCTTGCCATCTTCAACTCTCAAAGCTCACAGTAGACTAAGCCCTTATGCTTCCCCCTCCAGCCTCCTGCACCAGAAGATATGAGCATCATTTGCTTTACCAGTGGGACCACAGGTCAGTGCCCAGGAAGTTGCCCCAGAGGCCCCTAGTTAACCAAAAACATGGCTTGAGTCACTGACCACTGGTGGGCTGGTAAATATACTTTACAAGCAGCCCTATCCTGAGGGACTTATAAACTAAGACTTCTGAATATGGTTGCCCACTTAGAAAAACCCACGCATAAGCAAACATTTCAATGAACAACCAGGAGCAGTTTACATGCTATGGAATGGAAGGGCCTTAAAGATGGCTTCATAAAGTCAACTTTCTCGCCCAGCCTACCACTCTCTCAATTTAACATCACTGGAATGGCTTCACTCTATCAAGATAGCCCAGTGGTAGATCTAAACAGATCATTCTGTGTCCTCTTTCTCCCCCTCTACGTAGCCACCTAGTTACTAGAACTCTTAATAAATTTTAATTTGAACCATAATAATCTAGAAGTTATAGCCATTTCACTGTGCCCCGTTTATAAAGTGATGGCCAGGTAATATTGTTAGATCTGAAGTCTTCAACATGAAAACAGCAGGAGGCAGAGTGGGGTCAATTGGATTCTTCTTTTTGTTGCTATCTGAGACTGTGGCTGTGCCCTGTGTGATAGCGCAAAGCTAATAATGCAGTCAGAGTAGAGTTTCTGGGGGTATCAGTTATTCATAAGCAGAGTCATACACCATTCATAAAAAGACCCAGGGACAGAAGTTCTCAGCTCCGTGGAACAGAACCAAATGAATGTAGCTTCTTATTTCAATGCCAGAGACAACCTATTAGTCACTTACTGGATCTTTCCACCTCTTGTTTCCTACAGGTGATCCCAAAGGAGCCATCTTAACCCATGAAAATATTGCTTCCAATGCTTCTGCTTTTCTCAAATCTCTAGAGGTCAGTGGTCAATTGAAAATGAGGCCGTCATTAAAATGTCAATCTGTCGTAAGATTTTAATCTTAAAGTGAGAGGAGGCAGAGAAGGAAAAAACAGATTGAAGACCTGAGTGTGGATGAATACTAGTACATCTTTGTCTGAGTTTTGCTCTTTTATTTATTTGTTAAGATATATATTTTAAAAAATCTGGACCATTTTTAAAGTTTTTATCAAATGTGTTATAGTATTGGTTCTGTTTTATTTGTGATTTTGGGGGTCTACAAGGTATGTGGGATCTCAGCTCCCTGACCAGGGATAGAACTCACACCCCCTGCATTGGAAGGTGAAGTCTTAACCACTGGACCTCTGGGGAAGTCCCATAGAGTTTTGTTCTATTAGGGTCACTGCAGATCTCTGCATTCAATGCAGTTAGAGCATCCCTGAGAGTTACACAGGGCACATCTGCATAACTGTATGCAGCAGTCCTAGAAAGAAGAAGTGTTTAAATCCTCTTCGGAAGAGGAAATTAACATTAACCCATTGTTGTCTCCTTTCCATTTCCTGATCTCTAGGGTGTTTTTGAGCCCACTCCCGAGGACGTGACTATATCCTACCTCCCCTTGGCTCATATGTTTGAGAGGGTTGTACAGGTAAGATCCTATGTTCCTAGCAGGTGTGTGAAAAGAAGGTCCTGACTTGCTAGTCCCACATTTATTCCAAGGGCAGCTCTGCAACGTTTGCAGTCCACTATCTAATGTGAGAGCACGGGCAGTGGGGAATTGTCGTGGCTGAGTCCTAATCTTGGCATCATCCCATACCTGCTGCAGAGTCTTCCTGTATTGAATCTGTCTGTATCCCACGGGGTGAATGCTTGCTCCTGCCTTCACACAGGGTGCCTGCAAGTCCTTGGAGCTCACAGCCTGGAGCTTACTATCTATCCTACGCAGGGAGATGAGGCATTGTTTTTTCTTTTCTTTGGGCTAGAAGTTTTGAAAAGATCTAGGCTTAAAGAAAAGGAAGTTCCCCACAGAGGGGCGAAGAAGGAATCTTTGATCTAGATAAGGTGTCCGGAGTGTGTCAGGGGCAGCTGCTGACAATGGTACATGGGCTAGGGAAGAGCTGGCCTTCTGTGAGTGGTCACCAAGCTTTTCAGGCTATTTTGAGGCTGGTTTGAGAAACCAAAAGCAAAAACACAGGTGTCATTAGGGATGGAAAATCCCCTCTCTGACCCCTGCTTAAATATCTCTTCAAACAGCTTATCTGTTGGTACATGAAATGCTAAAATGGAAGATTCAGTTCCTTGGGTTAAAGTGCTGATATCTGATTAATATAATATTAATTCTAATAAGCGTGTTTTTCAGTCAGTTCACATTTTCAGTCAGTTCAGTTGTGTCCTACTCTGCGACCCCATGGACTGCAGCATGCCAGGCTTCCCTGTCCATCACTAACTCCTGGAGCTTGCTCAAACTCATGTCCATTGAGTCGGTGATACCATCCAACCATCTCATCCTCTGTCGTCCCCTTCTCCTCCTGTCTTCAATCTTTCCCAGCATCAGGGTCTTTTCCAATGAGTCAGTTCTTCATATCAGGTGGCCAAAGTATTGGAGCTTCAGTTTCAGCATCAGTACTTCCAATGAATATTCAGGACTGATTTCCCTTAGGATTGACTGGTTTGATCTCCTTGCAGTCCAAGGGACTCTCAAGAGTCTTCTCCAACACCACAGTTCAAAAGCATCAGTTTGTCGGCACTCAGCTTTCTTTATAGTTCAACTCTCACATCCATACCTGACTACTGGAAAACCATAACTTTGACTAGACAGACCTTTGCTGACAAAGTAATGACTCTGCTTTTAAATGTGCTCTTTAGGTTGGTCATAGCTTTTCTTCCAAGGAGCAAGCGTCTTTTAATTTCATGGCTGCAGTCACCAACTGCAGTGATTTAGAGCCCCCCAAAATAAAGTCTCTCGCTGTTTCCATTGTTTCCCCATCTATTTGTCATGAAGTGATAGGACCGGATGCCATGATCTTAGTATTCTGAATGTTGAGTTTAAAGCCAATTTTTTCACTCTCCTCTTTCGCTTTCATCAAGAGGCTCTTTAGTTCTTCTTTGCTTTCTGCTATAAGGGTGGCGTCATCTTTGAGGTTATTGATATTTCTCCCGGCGATCTTGATTCTAGCTTGTGCTCCATCCAGCTGGCATTTCTCATGATGTACTCTGCATATAAGTTAAATAAGCAAGGTGACAATATACAGCCTTGACGTATATTCGGTGAATATACATGAAAACTTCGGGAGTTTTCACATTTTATCACTTCTGAAATTAAGACGGTCTGACCACTGTAGGCGTGTTCTAGTTTGAGTGGCAGTGCTTTTTTCTTAGTGCTATGTAATGAATGGGCTCTTAGAAACGATGCCTTAGACACTCATCCAGAGCTGTGGATGGAGTAGGGGTGGGCCTGCAGCCTCACAATCTGACTTACCTGTCTTGCCACCTCAGCCAGAGGCAAGTGTCATCCTGTCTAGGGAGTAGGGTCTCAGAGTTCTGGGTACATGAAGTGTCAGGGGTGAGGGGGTCCAGAGAAAAGTGCCCATTTTTGTTGTTGTTCAGTCACTAAGTTGTGTCTGACTCTTTGAGACCCCATGGACTGCAGCACACCAGGCTTCCCTGTCCTTCACTGTCTCCCAGAGTTTTCTCAAAATCATGTCCATTGAGTCAGTGATGCTATCTAGCCATCTCATCCTCTGCCACCCCATTCTCCTTTTGCCTTCAGTCTTTCCAGCACCAGTGTGTTTTCCAATGTGTCAACTCTTCACATCAAGTTGCCCATTGGATGTCCTTAATTCTGTCCCAACAGACCCAACTCAAAGAGGTTCTTTGGCTCTAAGCCCCACCCTCTGGTTTTGCTTTTAGGCTGTTGTGTACTCTTGTGGAGCCAAAGTCGGATTCTTCCAAGGAGACATTCGGCTGCTGCCTGACGACATGAAGACCTTGAAGCCCACATTGTTCCCTACGGTGCCTCGACTCCTTAACAAGGTCTATGATAAGGTACTTACCTTTCTTCTCCTGGGCTGGCCCTGAGCTGTGTGGGGCTTAGGCCTGACTACAGCTCCTAGAGACTCTGTGTTGCTAAGAACTGTGCTGCATTTCCAGCCTTAACCCCACCCCCACCAGCATCCACTTACAGCCACACTTACAAATGCAGCCATGAAAAATTGTACAAATGAAACCTCCTTTCCTCTGGATGAGATTACTTGGATGTGATATGGAGAAACAGATTCATTCAGAGACTTGAAGAACCTCTCAAAATTCAGCTGACTTGGAAATTGTTACTCTGATTTCATAACACCTGCTGGTTAGGGTGCTTCTTTCTGAGGTGCTAAGCCCATGGTAAATATTTCATATACATTCCATCATTTCATTCCTACAAAATCCCAGGAAATCACACCAACATTTATTATCCCTAATTTACAGATGACGAGACTGAAACTTGGAGGTTAAATAACTTGTCCAGAGTCAGGTCTAATAAGGAGATGAACCAAAATTTCATGGCCTCATGACAGATTTAGCTGTTAGTGATCTCTGCTCTGTTTTTCACTAAGGTTAGGAAAATGGTGCTCTTTCTAATCCAAGCATTTCTCTTGCCTTCATTGGCTGAGAGTCTTCCAGGAAGGCACAAATATTTTAGTTTTTTCCCTTTTATTTATCAGTCTTGAAAATAATGAACTGGTACCCCAGTGACCTTCAAAACTGGTCAGTGAGAAGTTTTCTTTGTAATATTATGATACTCTATAATCTATATGATCCTAAATCAAAAGCCCCAACAGTGGTACACAATCAGCTGTTTCATCAGTACTCTCAGGTAACTTTGTAGATAGATGCTACCTTTTGGGGACATGCTGTGTCAATTGTCAAGGTTGTTTGCTAAGGACCAGGAATTTGGAGGAGCTGGAGCTTTGTGCTTTGTCTGTGTGTACGAAGTTCACTTCTTTGTTAGCATGGACTTTCATCATTATTCAGCATACCAGTGCATGAATAAGAGCCACTTTCTTTTGATGCTAGGAGGCACTATCTCTTGCTTGTTGATGAATGGCTTTGATGAGTATACTATAAGTTTCCAACTAAGAGGAGCTGTCACTCTGCAGGTACAAAATGAAGCCAAGACACCCTTGAAGAAGTTCTTGTTGAACTTGGCTGTTGCCAGTAAATTCAGTGAAGTGAAAAAGGGTATCATCAGACGTGACAGTCTGTGGGACAAGCTCATCTTTAGAAAGATCCAGGTATGTTGGGTAGGTCCTGATGGTGCCACGTGCGTGTCTGGGTTGCCCTCTGCCTCAGCATACTTTGCTTTTCCTTTGATGGTCAAGCGTCTGTTTAACTGGAGACCCTTTGGCACTTTCTGTGTTCACTCAACCTTTCGAGATCTCTCTCAGACAACTTTGCCACTAAAGGGATTTGGCCAAAATGCAGAAAGTGGATTTTTCTTAGGTTCTAGTGCTTTCATTCTCTTAGGTGGTCTGTTGAGAGTCCTAAGTAATTTGAAAGGTCTAACAATACAAATTACCTGAGGAAATGTCAAAAAAAAAAAAAATTGCAGGTCTGGTTCCTGCTGTGGATGGTGGTGACCATAAGGGCCAACATTTTAAGTTCTTTTCTACAATGATGGGCCCTTTCTAAGTGCTTTGTGAATTAATGAGTTTAATCCTTATGACAACACTGGATAAGTGGGCTGTTCTGCCCATTTTGCAGTGCAGGAGACTAAAGCTGCAGGAATAGTTTTCAGCAGGTCTTTTGTTTCTATTAAACAGGAAAGCCTGGGTGGGAAGATTCGGCTCATGGTCACCGGAGCTGCCCCCATCTCACCTCCCATCTTGACGTTCCTTCGGGCAGCAATGGGATGCCTGGTAAGCCAAGCACATTTTTTTAAAAATTTTTCATTGGGGTGTAGTTGCTTTACGGTGTTGTGTTAGTTTCTGCTGTAAAGCAAAGTGCATTAGTTATATACATCCATGTATCACCTCTTCTTTCCTTCCCGTTCAGGTAACAGGTCCCCTTTTTGGGATGATAGCTGATTTCACTTTTATACAAGTAAAACTCACTACTTAAATAAAATTGAAAACACAAATGAAAAGTGCCAAGGTGAAAGTCAGCCAGAAGCTCAAAGTCAAGAGAAAATATCCTTCCAGTCATCGCTTAATGCATCTGTGTAAAGAAACCTTGACACAAATAGCATCAGTGTTAGCGAAAATTTGCCATTTGCAGCAGTGTGAATGGACTTGAAGAGCATTATGCCAAGTGACATAAATCAAAGACAAATTCTATGTGACATCACTTATATGTGGAATCTAAAAAATACAACAGACTAATGAATATAATAAAAATGAAGCAAGCTCACAGATACTGAGAACAAACTACTAGTGGTGGGTAGAGGGCAATTTAGGGGTAGGAGGGTAAGAGGTACAAACGGTTAGGTATAAAATGAGTTACAAGGATATTATTATATGGGAAATATGTCTGATGTTTTATAATAACTATAAATGGAGTATAATCTTTAAAAAATGGCATCAGTGTTCTAACACACTTGTTAAACAGTGCTCAACCCATCCATATTAATTCTAGTCAGATAAACATCATTTTAATAGTTTTGTAATAGCTTATTGAATGTACCCAAATAACTAGTCTCCTGTTGATGCATGTTAAGTCGCTTTGGTCGTGTCCAACTCTTGACTCTTAGAGACCTACGAACTGTAGCCAACCAGTCTACTCTGTCCATGGGATTCTTCAGGCAAGAATACTGGAGTGGGTTTCATGCCTTCCTCCAGGGGATCTTCCTGACCCAGGGACTGAACCTACACTTCTTACCTTTCCTGCATTGGCAGGTGGATTCTTTACACTTGTGCTATGTAGGAAACCCAGTCTCCTATTTGAGAGACGTCATTTTTTTTTTTTTTTTTGCTGTTATAATCAATGAGGTGATAAGGATATTAGTGAATATTTATGCAACTATTAATTTAGGATAAATCTTTGCAAGTGGGAATTATTGGGCCAAAGTATATGAGTTTTTTTACATGTTAATGTTGATGCTCACACTTCCTCAGAAGGGTCTTGTCTTTCTTATACATTCCTACAAATAATGCACAAGTCCTGTTAGCCCCACCTTGTTGCTAGTGATAGATGTTTTCAGTCATTTAAATCTTAGCCAAATAGATACTTGAGAAATCTTATTACAACTTTGTTTTTTTTATTAACACCAAACATCTTTTGGGGGGGTCTTTTTTTCCCTTGCCCTCATCGCACTGAACATTCACAGATTTATTTAATAGTATTTGTGAGGTTTTGTTTGTTTGGCTGCACTATGAGGCATGCAGGATCTTAGTTCCCCAACCAGGGACTGAACCCAAGACCCCTACATTGGAAGTGCAGAGTCTTAACCACTGGACCCCAGGGAAGTCCCTAAACATCCTTTCTATTGTTTACTGGCACTTGTGTTGCTTTCATGAATTACTACATTACTTCCTTATAGAAAAAAGAACACAGGAGAGTTTGGTTCTCTTTCACCTTGCTTTCTAAAAATTCATATAGTAATAAAATCAATCTTTGTTGTGTTAGAAGTGTATTTCCTAGTCTCATCTTTTGTACTGTGTACTGCTAGATAAAAGTTTTAAATGTTTATGCAGCAAGTCACCTTTTTTATATGGCTTAATAAGGGTTAGACCTTAGGCTTCCTGACCCAACCCTCAATATTGCATAGAACTGTTTTCATCCAGATTTTCTGGTAACCTTGTGGTTTTACCTTTTTTCAATTAAGTCTCTGCTCCATCTGGAATTTAGTAAAAGGGCTTGAGTACAGATAGTCTCATATTTTACCCCCAGATGGCTAACTAGTTCATTCTTTTGTCCAACATGCACAGCATGAATGAAACAAACAGCCTTGTCCTCATCAAGTACCACCTATGTGTGTACCTGCCTTCACAACAGATTCTGAATTGATGCCAAGGCCAGAGTTCCTCTGGCCTTTCAAACTAGCATCCTCTTGGCCATGCTTAACACCTTCCCTTCCCTCAGATCCTAAAACGCATAGATCAGAAGGCCCTAGGTCATATCCCTCCCAGAAATGCCTTCCTCTCTTCTGCCAGCTCTGCCTGGGACAGACCCCATCCCCACTTCAGACTCCGCATGTGTTTCCCCCACAGCCCCTCTCCAGTCAAGGTTAGCCTTCATCCCAGCAGTTGGTCTGTGCTACAGACCAAATTTGGCCTGTTTTCTCTATTTATAAATAACGTCTTGGTGGAACACAGCCACACTCATTTATTTATGTATTGTCTGCTGCTGCTTGGTGCTATATTGGCAGAGTTAAGTCACTGACATAGAAACCAAGTGGCTCATATGGTCAAAAATATTCACTCTCCGGTTCTATATACAGAAGTGTGCCAACCCCTGTTCTATACCATACCTATTTCCCTTAAAATATATTTCTATTTTTTTTTTAGCTCCTTTAGTAGCATGCCCTTGCCTAGGTTCAAGTCCAGTTGCCATTGGGTTGCGTGTCACTTAATGAATAACTCTCTTTTCCCCATCAGCTTGAAATGTCACATTTCCCAAAGTATAGTATGTTTCCATACTTTGGTCTATTTCTGAACCCTTTTGGTTTTTAGTGAATCCACAGTTGTAAAGACCTAACATCTCAGGTTCTTATGAATTCAAGGTTTTAAGACACCAAGTGTCCTCCAGCTGTTAGACACCTTGCTTTCCTCATGTCTGGTCGTGGGGCATGGCCAGCTCCTGGTTTAGCTTGAGTAACTCTCAAATCCCTTCTTTGGTTCACACAGGTGTTGGAAGCTTATGGTCAAACAGAATGCACTGCTGGCTGTACAGTTACATTACCTGGGGATTGGAAATCAGGTATGTTCTTTGTTTACTGGACAGCCAGTGCAATGGCTGGGTGAAGAGTTCTAGATAAACTAGGATTTGGGTGTTTAGATAGCCTCAGTACTCTGGAGGAATGTGGCAGATCCTAAATCTAAGGGTTGGTCAAGGCCTTTCTATCTTGACTGTCCGGCACTGGTGCCAGATGACTTTTCAGTTTTATTCTTCTAGAGTCAATCCATAAATATCTCTCAAACCTGGCTGGAGTTATCACCATTTCCCAGTCTCCTGGCTGATTCAGTGTGATGTGTTCTAGGCCACGTTGGAGTCCCCATGGCTTGCAATCATGTAAAGCTGGAAGATGTACCTGATATGAACTACTTTGCCGTGAACAATGAAGGAGAGGTGAGTAGGCTGTGCCCAGCATTCATTTTTACATAATTGTGGTGGGGATGTGTGTATCAGAAAAAGCACACAGTTGTGAGCAGGTTTGTGTTTGATTCTTTCGAGAATTTTAGCAAGGACTTCAGTGTCTGGGAGCCTAACTTTGTCCCCCACAATGAGAATTAAAATCTGGTGCTCTTCATTAGTGTCATTGGTGTTTGTCACTCAGTTTTGTCCGACTCTTTGCAACCCCAAGCATTGCAGGCAGATTCTTTACCACCATCTGTGCTACCAGGAAAGCCCAAGAATACTGGAGTGGGTAGCGTTCCCTTCTCCAGGGGATCTTCCTGACGCAGGAATCAAACTGGCATCTCCTGCATTGCAGGCAGATTCTTTACAAGCTGAGATACCAGGGAAGCCTGGATACTAGAAATGACTTGCTCAAAGACAGGGGAAAATTTGGTGACTTTTCCAAAGAAGTGTAGTAGTGTATTTTGTTGTTGTTATTGTGATTTTTACTTTTCTTGTGGCAGAAACAACTCAAGATAACTCCATGGGCCTATAGTGTTTACCTTTTATAGGGATACATATTTTTCCCCCATTTAACATGTAGAGACATATCAAAATGAGGATGCAGGATTTCTAAGCCAAGTGTATGCAGAGACTAGTTTTTGCCTCTCAGTGACCTTCACAGCTTCTCTTGGTGGAAGACACTGAGACTTTCTTTAAAGCATAGCTTGCTGACAAAAAATCAGCAGTAAGTAGTCTCTGTAAACCCCATCTGTTTCCCTAAGAGAGGAAATTCTTGCATAGTAATGATGGTGCCTTAGAACCCCTGTAGGCAATTTTCAAGAGCATTCCTCTCTGGAAAGTTTTTGTCTACTATGTGCTGGGGGAGTGGGAATGTAACCAGATTTAAAACCCTCTTCTTGCTCAATATTCTCAAGATTTAAGTCATATTCAAGCAATGTTTGACAACAAAGTCTCTAAGAACACTGGTGCTAATGATGTGTTTCATAGATGTGGGTGTTATGGTAGCATGTCTGTGTCTGTATGGTAAGAGTTTCCAGGTCTAATAAGCCCAAAGTATAGGCAATAGATGTGTTCTCACACTAGAATTATAAAGGGCTGAGCTTTACTCATCACTTTCAGATAATGTCTGTTAGGCTGAGCTGGTGGTTGATTTCTTGAGTTGGCCTTGATGGTTCCAGGGTTGGTTCAGTCTATTGCCCTATTTCGGGTGTGATCATGTGGACTGTATTTGCCACTTGTCCCAGTTCTACAATTCAAATCCCTAAAAACCTAAGCTCCTCAAACCAATTAGCCCAGAGTAGAACCTGCAAATGACCTCTGGTGGCTGGTCAGAGAGCTCTCCCTGGCTCTGTTTCTGTCTTAACAGGCGCAATTACTGACTTGTTTGATTAGCAGTGGCACAGTGGAGCTGTATAGACTGCTCCTGGATCTAATGGGAATAAAGAAAAGGGAGACAAGGAGGGGAAGATCTAATTCTAAAGTCTTAATAAAAGATAACACTTTCCCTGTTCCCAAGAGTGCTGGAATGAAGTAATTAGAAATTAAGTTACTAGAAATTAAGAGCTGCAAAATTTCTTTGTTGGATGAGGCAACCATGTACATAATCCCAGTGGGTTCAGGGGACTTTTTCTGAGGCTGCCCACTGACTCTTCACAGACGTGTGCAGTATAGACAGGTTTCGTGGAAGGCTGCGTCCCCTTTCTCCAAAGCCAAAAAGAGAAATGAAAGATTGTCCAAAAGTCAGTGGAGAGCCCAAGTTTAAAAGGGAAGCTTAAAAACAAAAAAAGGAAGATTACCTATGATTTCACCTCGCTCTTCACTGACATCACTCAATAGGCTCAGAAACACTGACTCTGTTGTCTTTCTGTCTGCTACAGAACGGAACTCTGAAGGTCATCGACCGAAAAAAGAACATATTCAAGCTGGCCCAAGGAGAATACATTGCTCCAGAGAAGATAGAAAATATCTACATCAGGAGCAGTCTGGTGTCGCAGATTTTTGTACATGGGGAAAGCTTACGGGTAACAGACATTTCTTAATAATAGCCAGTTTTATAAACACTGTGCTTAAACTTGGCTTCTTGGGAGTGCGGGAGGATTGATATGCAGAGGTCAGAGTTACTTTAAGCTTAATATTGAGTACCATTTCTTTTTGAACAATCACATTTGAATAGAACATTTTTGTAGAGATGTTAAGTGGGAAAATGAGATTAGAGTTCCATGAGAGTTTGAAATATATGATGAAAAAATAGTAGGATTCAGTTCAGTTCAGTTGCTCAGTCGTGTCCGACTCTTTGCGACCCCATGAACTGCAGCACACCAGGCTTCCCTGTCCTTCACCAACTCCCAGAACTTGCTCAAACCCATATCCATCGAGTCGGTGATGCCAACCAACCATCTCATTCTCTGTCGTCCCCTTCTCCTCCTGCCTTCAATCTTTCCCAGCATCAGGGTCTTTTCCAATGAGTCAGCTCTTCGCATCAGGTGGCCAGAGTATTGGAGCTCCAGCTTCAGCATCAGTCCTTCCAATGAATATTCAGGACTGATTTCCTTTAGGACTGACTGGTTTGATCTTGCTATTCCAGGGATGCTAGCCCTGAATGTCAGGCTTGGGAACCGTCACATATTAGGAAGATGTAATGCTGCCTTCTTTGCCCCACCAGGGGGCAGTGCTGCGCTAGTTCACATGCCTTCATTTCCTTTCCAGTCATTCCTAGTGGGAGTGGTGGTTCCTGATCCAGATGCACTTCCCTCATTTGCAGCCAAGATTGGGGTAAAGGGCTCTATTGAAGAACTGTGTCAAAACCAAGTGAGTCTCACTCAGGAAAGCCTATGCACACCCACGGGTCCATCGTGGGAGGGGGATTCCCTGTTCTCCCCACCCTTCAACTTGGGTACCCAGGGTTTCCTGGAGCCTCCTTGCTTGGAAGAACAGACTCTTGCTGTGTCTGTACTGGCTGGTTTTATTAGGCTGGAAGATGGGATGGGGAGTTTAAAAACAACTACCCAAATCCCTATTCTTTCCATAGTAAGATGTGCATTGTGAAAAAATTAATTGGAAAATGAGGAATTAATGCCATCCTGAGAAAACCCCTGTTACCATTTAGGTTTGCTTTTTCTTCTCATCATTCTTTGAGCAACATTTAGATATCACAAGTGCTTGTGCATACCTCCACATCCTGCTTTTATCCTGATGAGTTTAGTAGGTGTTTGAATTGGTTCCTGCTCAGCCTTTCCTTTAGGCTTTTTTAACAACCAGTCTCTAAGCTATGTTTTCTATTCATAGACTATAAAGAAAGCCATATTAGAAGACATGCAGAAAATTGGGACAGAAGGTGACCTTAAATCCTTTGAACAGGTATGTACTACTCATGTTATCCTGCCCTCTCAAGTCACACTAGAAAGTGTTAAAGATTGCATTTATTATAGGGTTAAGAAGTTCAGTTTCCAAGGGACTGACTTCAGTGGGACTGTTAACCCATTAATGACAAATGGCAGCGACCTTTGCATTCAGTTAGTAGTCCCTCCATGCTGTCCATTATTCATTCTCCTTCTCCACTCATGTCTTTCCCAAATTATTAGTGTGAGAATGAGCATGTGTTACTGTTCTCCTAACCCTCCCACGTCATCATGCCACTTCTATAAAAGAAAATATTCTCTAAGTTTCCGCACATAGCATTTATCTTTTTAGTTTTGACCGAGCTGGGTCTCCATTGCTGTGTGTGGGCTTTCTCTAGTTGTGGCGAGTGGGGGCTACTCTCTAGTTGTGGCGTATAGACTTTCCATCGTGGAAGTGGCTTCTCTTGTGGGGCACTGGCTTTTGGGCACACAGGCTTCAGTAGAGGTGGCATGTGGGCTCAGTAGTCGCGGCAGACAGGCTTAGTTGCTCCGCCATGTATGGAGTCTTCCCAGACCAGGGATGGAACCCGTGTCCCCTGCATTGGCAGGCAGATGCTTAACCACCGGACCACCAGGGAAGTCCCACATAGCAGGAGGGCTCCACAGAACAGTCCAGACCACTAATAAATGTGTGCACGTGTGCATCTCTTCCAGGTTAAATGCATCCATTTACATCCAGAGCCATTTTCCATCGAAAATGGACTTTTAACACCAACCTTGAAAGCAAAGCGGGGAGACCTTGCCAAGTACTTTGGGACTCAAATCAACAGTCTGTATGGGAACACCCGGGAGTAGGTTAAGGTACTTAGAGATGCAAGGGGCCCATAAGTATTCTGACTTGTAGGAATGTGGATTAAAAACTAATCTTATATTCATTTTCTCTTTCCTCCTGTTGTTTTACCTACTAAATAATAAAACCATAATTTTAGGACTTTTAAAAAACATTCAGTGAGACTTAGCACATGGAAGCTTAGCCTTGAACTAAATAACTCTTGTCTTTCCCATCTTAAATGTTGCTTAAATGACACGTTAGGTGTTAGGACTACTTTTATTAAGATACCTTCCTTCAAGATCCGTCTGTACAGTATCTTTGTTCCTGCCTTGTGATCTCCAGCCTTTGTAAGTGATAACTAGTTCAGAGACCATTTGGGACTTTTTCCTTGTTTTATAGTTAACCTAGTTCATTGGTGGTCTCAATATTTAGAGTTTCCAGTATTCAAATTAAGAGACCTTTAGATTCTGAGGAACTTATGAACACATTTTCTAACTATTCCATAAAACCCCTAACATTAAGTAGAGTTTTAAGCTATAACAATATTAATCATGCTTAGGAGACAGATTTCTTCTATGTCTTTCTGTGTTCGCTAAAGTCTGTGTCCAGAAAGGGAAGAATGTGATCCCACTGAGCACTTCCTAAACTCTCTAGTTTCTCTGACTTGGGAGAAGGTAAAACTGGGCCTGTGACACTCTGTCTAAAAAGAATGTTCTGAGAGTGTTTTCCACCAGTATACCTGGTGACTGAATCTATTCCTACCAGTTTGCTGCTGAGCTGGAAGCTATGGGTAAAGGAGCTGAAGCTCATGTCAAGCGCACCTTTCCAGTAAATGAAGCAAGCGCCGAATGGCAACCTCCTGATCTGGGAATACAGGCACAAAGCCTGCACAACAGCCACACCTCCTGGGAAGGAATCGACTGATCTTTCCTCCCGACTCCACTTCCTGCTGTCCCTTACCCGCCTTCAACACGTACCAATATCGCCTGAAAATATAAAGTCTTAAGAATAAACTATTGTAGAACACTGAATTTTGTGGTGTGTTTCCTCATGGATCGTGAAGAGTCAGCCTTAGACCAGGGTTCCTTGACAATCACGGAAGCTAATGGCTCTCAAACTTGGCTACACACTAGAATTACCTGGGAGTTTAAAAAGATACCAATGCCTGTGTAACACTTCATGGATTCTGGTTAACCTGGCCAGGGGTACAGGGTGGGCATTGGGATTTTTAAACGGTCCCTAGGTGATTCTAGAATGCCACTATGTTTGACAGCTACTGAAGGAAATGACCTTGAGGATCAGGCCTTCTATCCCACAGCTGTGAATAAAAAAAATACCAGTCGAAGCCTGACTCCAGCTGAGCACAATGTGTGCTCTTTCTCCTTTATCATCCATGTAGTCTTGAACTGTTCCTTTCTGGTCTTTCTAGACCCTGAGCTCAGAAGAGCTATTCTGGGATATTGAGACGGAAGGGAAGGCAGGAATGAGTTTCCCTGCATGTCTAGCTCCTGTTGTCTCCTTGACCTCCTTTCCCACTACCCCCTCACTCATTCCGGCTGAACCCACACTAGCTGCCTTCCTGTCCTCAGACATGCCAGGCACATTCTAGCCTGTTGTTCTGCCTAAAAGGCAGATGCTCCAAGAGACACATGACTTGTCCCCTCATATGCTGTAAATGTCACCTCCATCAGACTGTTCCACCTGCTTTCTTCATAATCCATGACTCCAGCTAACATACGTTTTACTATCCGTCTACCTCCCTAGTCCTCACTGGAGTGGGACAGAGTCCTCTTTCATGCACTGCTGAATCCCCAAGTGCCCTTCCCTTGGTGTTCACTGTTACAAGCCAGACCCCCAATCTCAAGTTCTCTGCCTTGGAAAGAATTCCTCTTTGAACAGGTGACTACTAATTCTACTCTTGTGTTTAGAAGAGCCTGACTTTAAGCCTCCAAGTCCACCAGCCTAGAACCTACTACTCACATCTGCTTCAGCCTTGGATAGATCCAAGAGAACATGAGCAGACATGATTAGGTTGAAAGTCTCCTAGACAGCGGCCAAGATGGTATAATATACAAAGACCCCGAGTTCACCTTTCATGGGCACACCAATATCACAACTAGCTGCAGAACAACTATTGATGGAAAAAACTAGAACTTACCAAAAAAGATCTTCTACAACTAAAGACATAAAGAATGAACCACAGTGAGAAGGGGCTGTTGAGAGCAGACTTGTAAGGGCAGATATAATCAAATCCCATACCACTTGGCTGGGCGATCCTCAAACTGGAGAATAATTACATAGCAGAGGTTCTCTCACAGGAGAGAGTCCTGAGCCCCATGTCAGGCTCCCCAGCCCAGGGATCTGGCATAAGAAAGACAAGCCCCAGAAAACTGGGGGAAATACAGACCTCACTTTTCAAGAGTACACATAAAATTTCATAAAATTTCATGTGCACTGGGACCCAAGGCAAAAGCAGTAATTTGATAGGAGCCTGGGCTACATCTACCTGCTGGTCTTGGAGAGTCTCCTGGAGGGGCAAAAGGCAGCTGCGGCTCACCCTGGGAACACAGACACTGGAGGCAGACATAATACGGAACATTCAACCACATGAACCCTCCTGGTGACTGCCATACTGGCTCATCTGCACCAAGACTTGGCCCCACCCAACAACCTGAAGGCTCCAGTGCTGGGATGCCTCAAGCCAAACAACTAACTGGGGAGATACAGCCAGACCCATCAGGAGACAGGCTTCCTAAAGACTAAAGAGCCCACAATCATGTCCTGACATGCCCCTAGGCACAGCCTAGTCCACCATGGGGTCAAAGTCCATCTCCACCCGCCAGTGAGGAGATAATAGCTAAAAACTTCCCTAATCTGAGAAAGCAAACAGCCAAGTCCAGAAAGTACACAGAGTCCCGTACAGGGTTAACTCAGAGAGGCACACACTAAGACACAGTGCCGTCAAAATGACAAAAATGAAGATAAAAAGACAGTACTAAAAGCAAGGGAAAAGCAACAAATAATATACAAGGGAACTCCCATACACTACAAAGCTACAGTAATCAAAACAGTATGGTACAGCTACGCAGACAGAGATTAACAGAGCAGGATAGAAAGTCCAGAAATAAACTCACACACACCTATGGTTAATTAATCTATGACAAAGGAAGCAAGAATATACAGTGGAGAGAGGACAGTCTTTTCAATAAGTGGTGATGGGAAAACTGAATAGTTTACATGTAAAACAATGAAATTAGAACATTCCTCAAATACCATACACAAAATTAAAGTCAAAATGGATGAAAGACCTAAACGTAGGACCGGATACTATAAAACTCCTAGAGGAAAACACAGAACACCCATTGATATAAATCACAGCAATACTGTTTTGAATCCCTCTTCTACAGTAATGGAAAGAAGAACAAAAATAAACAGGTGGGATCTAACTAAACTTAAAACCTTTTGCACAGCAAAGGAAACCATAAACAAAACAAAGACAACCTGAAGAACGGGAAGAAATATTTGCAAAGGATACAACCTACAAGGGATTTATTTCCAAAATATAGAAACAGCTTAAAATTAACCCAATCAGAAAAGGGGCAGAAGACCTGAACAGACATTTCTCCATACAGATGGCCAACAGGCACATGAAAGGATGCTCAACACTGCTAATTATCAGAGAAATGGAAATCAAAACTACAATGAGGTATTTCCTCACAGATCAGAATGGCCATCATCAAAAAGTCTACAAATAATAAATGCTGGAGGTATGGAAGAAAAGGAACCCTCCTACATTGCTGGTGGAAATTGGTATAGCCATTACAGAAAACAGTATGGAGGTTTCTTAAAAAACTAAGTTACCATACGATCCCACTCCTGGACATATACCCGCAAAAGTTGAAAAAACTAATTTGAAAAGACACATGCATCCCAATGCTCATAGCACCACTATTTACAACAGCCAAGCCACAGAAGCAACCTAAATGTCCATGAACAGATGAATGGATACAGATGTGGAATAAATACAGCGGAACATTACCCAGCCATTTAAGAATGAAATAATGCCATCTGCAGCAACATAGATGGACCTGGAGACTGTCATACTGGGTGAAGTCAGATGGAGAAAGATAAAACATCACATACTACTTAACATGTGGAAAATGTTACAAATGATGTTAAAAAATGATACAAATGAACTTATTTACAAAACAGAAATAGACTCACAGATATAGAAAACAAACTTATGGTGACCAAAGAGGAAAGAGGCAGGGAGGGATAAATGAGAGATATGGGAGACATTACAGATATACACTAGGGCGTCCCTGTTGGTTCAGCAGTAAAGAATCCACCTATAATGCAAGAGACATGGGCTGGATTCCTGGGTCAGGAAGATCCCCTGGAGAAGGGCATGGCAACCCACTCCAATATTCTGGCCTGGAGAATCCCACAGACAGTGGGGACTGGCAGGCTACAGCACACAGGGTCACAAAAGAGTTGAACACAACTAAGCATGCATACATACACACTACTGTATATAAAACAGATCAGTGAGATCCTGCTGTATGTACACCACAGGGAACTATATTCAGTATCTTGTAATAACCTATAATGGAAAAGAATCTGCAAAAGAATATATATGTGTGTGTATATATATACCTGAATCATTGCTATATACCTGTGACACTGTCAATCAACTATACTTCAATTTAAAAAAAGTTACTAGAATCCTGTGATCTCAATATGCCATTAATTGAGTATTTGAGGCAAACATGTATGTCTTAAGACTTATGATCAAGGATGTCAATTTTCTAAGAGGTGGTAAAGCAGCAGTTTCTCCATAAGGAACTAAGACTCCTTTTTAGTCAGCAAAAAGAAAGATGCTTGGAGTAAAAACTATGATTTATACAGAACAAGCCATTGATCTTTATTTGATTTGACAAAATTATCATTATTAAAAGACAGGTAATAAAATCTGAGCTTATATTGAATGTGACAAATTAATTTCTATAGTATCTAGAATATCAGAAATTCGGCCGAGGGGGAAAGAGGATAAAAGCATCGCGTGCAGATGCTCCTGGTAGAGGGGGATCTCTATCTGCAGGTCAGGTCCACCACGTGCAGCGCACACAAAATCCTAGAGAAAATGCAACCGACTCACTTGGGTGAAGTGTTTTTCCTTTGGGGAGAGGAGAGGTGGCAGAGAGGTGCAGGACTTCAAAGGCATGTGCAGAATGGCTTCTCCATTTCAAAGTGGTAATAAAAATATTTAGATCATGGCACTAGGGCACCTTTGAGGAAAAGAACACCTTAACCAGAGTAGGCTCATTGCATAATTCTTTAGTAATATGTACAGTTTTCAAGTAATGGAGCAAACTGAGAGGAATTTTACTTCAAAAGTGGCTATCTATTTTTCTTCTCGCCCTCTGGGGCTTGATCTGTTTCGGCGTCGCAGGGGCACTTTTCTACACAGTTTCTAGGGAACCATCCTCTTATTCTTGAAACACCTGAGGAAGAAAATGAAATTGGTATGAGATATACCAAAATGACATCTGTGAGACTTCAAACTGATAAGCTTTTAATTACCCCCCCCATTTTGATAAGCACAACTTGAGGCTAAAATTAACTAACTAAATAAATAAAAAGTCAAAATATATACATTCCCAACAAGCTAGAAAGTAGGTATTTCCCAAGTTCCATCATCTGGGAAAGGACCCGTATGTTTAGGAGCGCTCCAGTGGAGTGGGGGGGACCTGGTGTCCACGCACGTGTGTGTGACTGCAAGGGAGTCTGACACGGTAACACTTCTGTTCTAGGGACCTATCTTTCTGGAGATATGTTTTTTAGATCTTTTTCTAACACATGCACTTCTGTATCAAGCTTGCATAACCTATCACATGGGCTAATTTATGATTAACCCAGTGTTTTCAAAAGAGCATCCTAGGTTAATCTTTAAAGAAATAATTCTTAGTGTAAATTAAAAAAATCAAAGACACGGAATGTTTCAATTCACTAGTTTTTATCACAATAGAAT